AGGGAGAAGGGGGCATAACCCAGCCCCAATCTACCCTAAGTGGGCATAACTTAACCCACAGGAGGAAGGGGGCATGGCCTGCCCCAACATGGCTGGGTAGGAGGAAAAGGCGCATGGCTCAGCCCCATGAAGAAGAAGGGGGTATGGCATAACCCCAAACCAGCTGTACAGGGGAAGTGAGTGGCATGGCCCCAATTTGCCCAGGTGAGAAAGAAAGGAGCACAGCAGTCCTTAAGGTGGAAGAGGACATGGCCCAGCACCAACTTGTGCAAAGTGCAACAAGTGCAAAGAAATACAAAAGGAGGTGATTGCATTCCAGGTAATTACATTACATGTGAACTGGGAAAAATAGGCTTTATATAAGAGTTTACCCTTTCTAGATAAACTAAAAAGAGTAAACACGTGGCTTAAGATTTCCTAGTGCAGAAATAATTGGCTGCTTGAAAGACGGAGAATAAATATTCATTTGTAAATAAAAACTGACATGCCCCAGCTTTAAAATATCAAAATTATTACGTGACTTTTTTTGGATTATTAACAATAAGACAAAATGCCTCTGCTATTCATCACAAACAAGTCCTGAGACATGCTGAAATGATGTGTGGGCTGGGTTATACAGCTTGCATTCTCATCTAGAACTGGATACAAAGCAAATGGCTGGTCCTGGGTACCTCCTGTTTCATGATAACCCTCTTCTTCAGCTAAACAGAGGGCAACTCCAAAGGCATGAGATCTTCTCAAACATACTAGGAGGGTGGGTACGTTGCAAATTCTTTGGGAATCTTATGAGAATTCTCTTTAGGAAGCTGACCATTAACTGCTGGGTGTAGATCAATTAGGTCAACACGTTTTCTACAAAAGCACAACAAAGAATTTGTCCATGGAGGTATCCAAGGAAAGAGAGAGAGACAGAGAGGAGAGAGAGAGAGAGAGAGAGAGAACCTTAAAAAAGAACAGTTCCAGATATCTAAAGCAGGAGATTCTTGAACAGTCCTCAAGGCAAACTTTAAACTCCAGTCACAAAAGGAAGCAAATTAAACTTCAAGGGCCTCAGGTCCAGAGTGGAACATGCTTACTTCTTAACTGGGATTCAAGTTATGGAAGTCATGGAAGGTAAGTTAAAATGGTCTTAGCACATGAAACTACTGCTTAGCTGCTTGCTTACCTAAAAATCTTCTAAATGAAATACAAAAGTTAAAAAGTAATACTAGTAGTAGTAGTAGTAGGCATCTTTCTTGTGAGACAATAGAATTATATGTTTTAAAGAAAAAAATAAAATGGATTTTAAGTAAAAATCAGCATCTTTCTGTTCACACGACACAACCACAGATAATGACTGAAAGAGTAATAAGTAACCTAAATTAAAAAAAGTACTCCAAAAGATAAAAAGGAAGTGGCAATCTTGGCAAAAGAGGACACAGTTTATACACAATGCTATGTTGATTAATGCATTAAAGTAATATTTTCCAATTTAATACACTTACCGGGCTGATAATATTTCAATCAGCTCTTTTCTATTCTGCACTCTGAGTTTGTTCGTCTTATATCTTGAATCTTTACTGACTTCAGGCAAATTCAGGATCTAAATTTTAAAAAAAATGTGGTGATTAAGAAGCATGTTTGGCAGTAACATAAAGACTGTTTGTTTAGCCAAGGACATTTATATGGACATAAGACAACTTTCAAGACACACTCTTAGTTAACCATTGTTTTTAAAAAAAGATGAAAAAAGAAAGACAGTAACAGAAGTTACCTATGTAGCATCATAAGCAAGTAGAAGAAGAGACAAGAGCACAAACTGGTCTTAAATCTAGTTAACTGCCAACATTCTCATTATTGTCCTACATACATTCCAGTACATTAAAAAGACTGCAAGTTACTATGTTGTGGGTGGAGGGAGAGGCAAGACATTCAAATGAAGCACTGAAAGAAAGTTATATCCGAGTTATACATCACAACAAAGATATATCAATTATATTTGAGGTTTATGATACAGCCAGAAAATCCAGAGGGAGATACTGTATTTATTTCACCCTCCCCCAGAGGGTAGCTTAAGGCTTTCCCCACCAGTGCAGCTGAATTATGCCCAGAGATGTTTTTACAGACTTCCTCAGATGGATCCTATCCCTGCATAGCAATCATCATTCTTCTTGAAGAAGCCAAAACCTTCTTGCTGCCACCACCTTCATACACAGGTTTGATTATGAGATGGTCCCTGCCAGGACTTCACCGTCAATAGGAAGGACTGACAAGAGAACTACCTGTGCCACAAGCCCCTCTTTCTTCCTGCCAAGAGCCTTGGAATGTCCTGACGGTATGACTGGTGCCCACATGGATGAGTAGGAAGGGACAATGGTCTGAGGGGTGGTTGAGTTTGGGCAATCTCTAGATCATATCCTGAATTCATGTTCATCCACACATGTAATACAACTTACAAGATTACAGGGGTGGACAACAATTAGGTGCTTCCACCCTTCTCTTGGTAGTTCCCAAACACCACTATCCAATTTATCTTCCTTCAGTGTGTGGTGGTCATGGGAGCTCAAGACTTATGGCTGGGTGGCTCCTGCCTTCTAGCCAATGAAGTCTGCTTCTGGTGTCTCCTATCCACTGATTAATCAGCAGCCAAGAGCCTGAAATCAATTAATTACTTCTAGCTGTCTAGTGTATTCCAGTTCTCCTCCTTCTTAAGGTCACATGCTCACATTGTCCTCTGAACTGCTCAGGATCGCTCCTGGCAGTATGCTTCGTACCCACACAGAAGAGTAGCAAAGAATAGTGGTCCAAAGGCTGGGTGAATTCTTGCAATCTTTCCATCATGCCTTGAATTATCTTCCATATGCTTTAACTTCTCCTGCATTACCCCTAAGAATATTCAGGATAATACAAGAACCATAAGAAGGAAACAGATTTTCTACCAAGGTATCATATTTTCTGCTCATCATTTCCTCATGAAGAATTAATAAAGAAAAATGGTGTTGTAACCTCCAAGAGAAATATATCTTCTGTAAGTAACTCCCACCCGACAACTTAGAAATGTTACTATTATTCACAGACAAAGCGGAATTAAGACTGAAAAATGACTATTAAAATGTGGAGACAGAGTCTGGCAGTTTTATAGCGGCATTTATGGGGCAGAAGGACATATGGTCTACTGAAATCTACCATACAATCTCTCTATTGATGCCCCTATTTGTTTGTAATACATATTTTAATAGCTGATATAATTTCTAAGAGATTAAATAAAAAAACTCCTATGTCATATTAGTAACAGGGTAAAGGAGAAGAAAATCTCTAAAAGGAGCAGCAAGATTTGTGTTCCATTAGCCTTGCTTTCACAAACACAATATTCCACTACTGTACTTAACCTGAGTTCACATAGCCATTGCAAGCAATCACTGTCCGAAGATGCAACAATTTATATAGCATCTTTTCCAAAGTCTCACATCTATTACTATCACAAAAGTGATACTTGGATGGTACTGACATCTCTAGATCTGACCTCTAACCTTTAGTTTCTATTAATTCACCCCAGACTGGCAGCGACTGAAGTCATTACCATTTCATGAAATTCATTACCAGTTCATGGCTGGATGAACAAGGATGTGGTCTTGGTCCACTTCCAAGTAAATGACTGTTGATAACAACATCAGCACTTGCTATAACTTGCAGCCTTATCGGCCATCTAAATACAAAGAGTAAAATCCATGTTCCATGGAATTTAATAGCAAAACTTCCATTCTATCGAACTATGGTTTCACCCAGAAAGAAGAGAGCAGGCATGAACAATGAACTGTCACAACAGGTGGTCCCTTCAAATTAGATCAGAATCATACTGTTAGAAAATGTGAGGAAAGCTGCCCATGCTGTATATCCTCTGTGGATTAAAAAGCAACTACAACTTACTAACTGTCAGCAACACCAAATTCACACTGCATGAAAAAGGACTGGTGTAGCGCCAAAGCACAACCAAATATGGAAAACTCCATTTTAAGTATATTATCATGATTAAACCACGCGTCTTTGGACTTCCCTGAAGTTCAGAGAAAAAAGGAACCAAATCAGCGAACGTCCCCCAGGGAGAAACCTGGCCAGTGGACCTGTTTTCCCTTGAATCCAAGGCTATGTAAGCACTGTCTTTATTAATACAAATAAGTCTTTGCTGTTGTGTATCATAATAGAGTTTTCAGGTTGTGACTGGAATAGTTTCACTGTTCATCAGTCTTACTCTCAAACCCAGTTAAAACTTATGGGAATGCCTCATCATGCTATACTGATTTCAGTTTCAGGGGCTTTTTTTAAATTAACGTCCACCTACATTATGCAGATAGAAACATAGCCAGGTTCCTCTCGCTTTTTTATGGATGACAAAACAAGTATGAGGCAGCTGTTATTTTTTTTTTACGTGCAGTTATTTTATTTTACTGATTGTTTTGAAATCAAGATGGTTCCCCCAAAACTCCACAACACCACCTTCAATCATCTGTTCAATTCAGTTGGCCAATTTAAAATGCAGATCTAAGAACTGATGTTTAGAGTTTATATGTTGGGCTGGTCTTTTTCAAAATAGGCACAAGTGTGCACATTTTCCTTTGTTATACACATTAGCCCACTTGAGATGAGTCTTGTTTTAGAGATCAAAGCAGCCACACTTAAGAACATACTTTATTAATTGCTGACCGCTGTAAAATGAGTTTTGCCTATACTATGGGTATAAAAAATAGAGAGGCGTCATAAAAAGTCTTCAGCTATTAATCAAATATCAAAAGGATTTATTTTCTTTATTTTCAAAACCAGGAAAAACTACTGTAACAAATAATTTGGCTTTTTTCCCCCTCCTTGCTGCTTACTTGTCCAAAACATATGGTACTGGCAGAAAGTCTGCAATCATTTACAGCTTTAGGTTGGCTGTTACATCCCCATAGCAAATGTCTTCAGGGGCAACAGCTTCCGTATGTTCCATATTTTAAGCATTGACCCTTCATAATAAGGTTCCTTGATACTAGTTCAAATATTTGAATTGTTATCTATATTTACTGAGGGTTCCTCTTGCCTCTTAAGTGTTTGGGGCTTCCCTGTAATTATTAATTCTCCCCATTCATTGCCTCTACCCCTTTACTAGGTTTTTTAGTTCCACCAGTTCAACTTAGCCTTTAACAGTTTTTATAACACTTAATTTGATTTTAAACTAGGCCTCCTACTGAGTTGCTGGGCATCCTAGCCTCAGTCTGTGTCTGTGTCTTTAAGGACAGAAACATTCTAAGAATAAAACCCAAGCAGAACTTTTGCTCAAGAATTGAACTCTCTTTCCTCTATCTCAAGTAAAGGAATTTTTAACTCGGTTGTATGCCTCTGCATTTTCTAACTGTGGAAGTTGTAATTCCAACATCTACTGCTTGTATCATGCACCTTTTTAGGTCCATTTGTTATAATAAAGTTCTCATAAAGCTGTCTTAAAAGTAGAAAGTGGAGCAGATTTCAGGGTTTTTTTCCTGCAAATAATGCTTTTTCACTGAAAATCCAGCTTCAGGGCAGAAGCGAGTATTCACAAATGCAGATGATGGAGCCCCTCTTATTTCCAATAGCCAAGTAGTTGGGCAACTAAATCTGGGAAGGGAGAGACTCAGCACACTATGGTTGCTATTAAGCGGGCCAGAGACAAAGGGTGCGGGTGCCCCTGAATACTTCATGGTATTATGTTTAATAATGTCTTTAAGGTCTTTGGAAATCAACACATCCAGAAGTGTAAAGCATTAATCTAACACAACCAAAACCAGGAAAATAATACTTACTCGCTTAGGTTCGACAGCCCAACAAGATTCTCGTAAGTGCTGGGATAGACAACCACATTTTGGAATGCCCTTCAAACTGACACTTCAGGAGGTTCACATAGCACTACTTTATGCCTGACTGAAGTGGGATAGCAGAAGCAGATTTTCTTGCAGGGATAGGTAGTTCACAGCAGGGTGTTTAATTAAGAACAAGCTGCTCAACTGCTTGCTGTGGCTTCTACTTCAAAGGGCACTGCATTAGGTAGAGTTCATCAGTGGTCCTGCACAGCTGACTAGAGAAGCAGCACGCTTTGAAATTAAAGCTGCAGCAAACATATCACTCATCTTGCACAGCTGTTTACTGTGGCCATCTACACCCCTAGTAAGGTTTCAAAACCTCATCTTCACAGGATGAGTAATAAACCTAACCCTGAAAAGAAGCTGGAATCTACTACAGCTTGTCCTCAAACATTCATTCATAGCAGGGATGGATAAACTGCTTAGCTTTCCATTCAAATCCCATTTGTTAAGAAATTTGGCTGTTTCTCTCGTACTAGCAAATTTCCCATCATGGGGGGGGGGGGGGGGGGG